AAAATATGTTTGCTCATTATGTTTGTTGCTGTGCGTAGGACCTGGAAGAACAGTTGGATGAGGAGGAGGCTGCCAGGCAGAAGCTGCAGCTGGAGAAAGTGACAGCTGAAGCTAAAATGAAGAAATACGAAGAGGACATTTTGCTGCTGGAGGACCAGAACTCCAAGTTCCTCAAGGTGAGAGGAAGATGCCTCTAAAAGGGTGGACGCATTCATGTTTGAGTTGGGAAGTTAGCTGTGCATTAAGGGGTCTGTCTCTTTTCATGTTTAGGAAAAGAAGCTGCTTGAGGACAGAATCAATGAGGTGACCTCGATGCTAGCTGAAGAGGAAGAGAAGGCCAAGAACCTGGGCAAGGTCAAAAACAAGCAGGAAATGATGATGGTCGATCTGGAGGGTAAACAAGTGAACCATAGCATCCGTAGAATAGCAAACTATCGCTTCTACAGCACGGTTGTTAAAAGAATTGTCTTATATTAAACCGATGTTTTATTGTGTTTTATAATCAGAGAGACTGAAAAAAGAGGAGAAGACCCGACAGGAGCTAGAGAAGGCTAAGAGGAAGCTGGATGGGGAGACGTCCGACTTTCAGGACCAGATATCAGAGCTTCAGTCCCAAATAGAAGAATTTAAAATGCAGCTGAGCAAGAAGGACGATGAGCAGCAGATGATGCAGGCGAGGTAGGAGATGGTAGGCCGACGACGGAGGAGAATGAGTCCTGATCAGTTCATCAGACTGAGCTAAATATGGGCTTCAGAGTCATAGAAATTTTAAAGTGATTAGAGCAGGAGTGAGATAAGTGTTGCATAGCATTACGAAGCAGTCAGCGCACTGGAAACATTCACACTAGCCATTTTATATGGAGCGTTTCATTAGACTCCCAACACTGCAGACCGGTGTGCAACAGTGGTCTTATTGTTAAAGTTCACTTTTTGTTGCTCTGCTTGGTGACCCGGCGCCGGCTGATATTTACTACGTGACTCTCACAGCACTGGAATGTGTGCGATTGTTATTTGTGAGGTATTATTGGTCATTTATAAGTGTGAGATCATACTACATTCATACATTTCTTTTAATTAGAATCAACAGTGATCCTGCCTCTGCTGCCACCCACTGGACCAATGGTTTCATTACATGCACGGCATTTTTGGAGAAGCAAATCTGAATAAGCACTGGAACTTTTATTCAAGTGTAAACCTTCTTACATTCAACCAATGGTTTTTCTGTTTTATAATTAGACGGGCTGAAGGAAGAATGAATGAATGAATAGCCTTTATTGTCATTGTACAAGGTACAACGAAATTGGAGTGCCACTCCCTTGGTGCAAAATGCAATAATAAATATAAATATAAAATATCAAAAGTACAATAAAACAACCGAAGTACTCAGACAATAATAAGTAGATATATACAGAATAGCAACATTCATATAATGATAGTATGAATAGCAGCATAATATAGTGACAGTGGCAAGTATGGTATAGTTAAGCAGGTTCAGTTGTTTTGTGCTTATTTACTACGGTGATAGCTCTGGGAAAGAAGCTATCCCTGAATCTGTTTGTCCTGGTTTTATGTGACCTGTACCGTCGGCCTGACGGTAATAGTTCAAACAGTTGATTACTGGGGTGAGAGTAGTCCTTAATGATATTGCCAGCTCTGCTGAGGTACCGAGAGTTTGCAATGGCCTCCAGGGTGGGCAGAGAGCAGCCAGTGATCTTCTGGGCTGTGTTGATGACCCTCTGCAGTACTTTCCTGTCTGCAACTGAGCACCCTGCATACCATGTTGTTATGCCGTACGTTAGGATGCTCTCTATGGTGGCTCTATAGAATGTCACCAGCAGCCTCTCCTCCAGGTTGTTCCTCCTGAGCACTCTCAAAAAATGGAGACGCTGCTGGGCCTTTTTTACCACCGCCGTGGTATTTGCAGTCCAGGAGAGATCATCAGAGATCTGCACGCCCAGAAACCTCATGGAGTGTACCCTCTCCACACGGTTCCCGTGGATGTAGAGTGGGGCTGGGTCTGCTCTGCCCTTCCTGAGGTTCCTGAGAGAGGAAATGACTGAAAAAGTTTCTAGTGCTTATTTTTAGTGGAACATTGAGGTTGTCCTATATCTCCAGAGGCATTGTGTTTTTTTTATTATAGCCACTTTTATACTTTGATTTCAGGAGCGAGGAAGAAGTCAGCCATAAGAACAATGCTCTGAAGCAGATTCGGGAGCTGCAGGCACAGCTGTCTGAGCTGCAGGAGGACCTCGAGTCCGAAAAACAGGCCAGGAACAAGGCTGAGAAACTCAAGAGGGACTTGAGTGAAGAGCTTGAGGCCCTGAAGACTGAACTGGAGGACACCCTCGACACAACTGCAGCCCAGCAAGAGCTTAGGTACTGTATGCTACATTTCTCATCCATATTTTAAAGAGTGGTGCATTTAGGGGAGCTTGTTATGTTCTTTGTAGGACCAAGCGTGAACAGGAGGTTGCAGAGCTGAAGAAAGCCATCGAGGAGGAGACTAAAAACCACGAGGCTCAGATCCAGGAGATGCGACAGAGGCATGGCACAGCCCTAGAAGAGCTGTCCGAACAGCTCGAACAGGCAAAGAGGGTAACTGACCTTTTTCTAATCAGCAGATTCACAAGTTACTATAGGTGCTACTCTGTCATTTATACTACTAATGTTTATTATGGATTATACGTAGTTCAAGGCTAACCTGGAAAAGACCAAACAGAGCCAAGAGACTGCCAACAAGGAGTTGACCAGCGAGGTCAAGAGCCTGCAGCAGGCAAAGCAAGAGTCCGAACACAAGAGGAAGAAGCTGGAGGCTCAGCTGCAAGAATTCATGGCCAGGGTCACTGAAGGAGAGAGGGCTAAGGGAGAACTGGCTGAGCGCTCACACAAACTGCAGGTGAGGTGGTGTTGGTGGTGGTGAAACTGGTTTAAGGTACCAGAGCAGAGGAAAAATAAATTTTTCTTAAATGTGCTAGCTTATCAAAAATATCTGGATTCTTCTAGAAGCAAAATCCTCTTGTTCGTGTACACAAGCTTAAAGTAAATGAACTGGTTCTTCTATAGTGCTTTCTATCTATCGTTCACACTCCAAAGGATACTTTGGCATATAGACTCAAGTAGCCAGGGATCGAACCACCAACCTTTTTTAACCTTTTTCATTGTAGTGTAACTGTTCAGTTGTATTTATTTGTGTGACTCTTTATCTTTTCTCTTGACGATAAGTCGACGTTGTAAGAGTTCTTTTGTAGCTGTTTAGTCTTTACTTTGGACAACAGCTGCTTCATTTAACGAGTTTATAGTACATACTGACTGCTAAAGGACAGATTCTTGAAAAACTGTAAATATAAGCTCGCAGAGATTTTGTTTCACCACTTGTCATTTTTGTATTCAAGTCTGTTGGACCAAAGCAGATAATCTGGTTTAAAATCTTCACACAGACTGAGCTGGACAATGTGTCTACCATGCTGGAAGATGCAGAGAGGAAGGGGATCAAGTCGGCCAAAGATGTCGCTGGGCTAGAGAGTCAACTGCAAGACACACAGGTATCGTAAAGTTAACTGTGATATTAAAGGGAACCTCCTGTGCTCATTTCCAGCTCAGTATTTCTATTCTTATTCTATTCTATTTCTATTCTTATTCAAGTACAGAATGTTTCTTTGTCTTATACTGGGCCTTGGTGCACCCGCTTATAACTTTTCCAGTCTCCATTACTGGAGAGTGTATATACACGCTGTAATGGATCCTCTTTTAGCCTCAAAGTCATTTAAGTGAAACTGTTCTTTTAAAATAACTGTATCCATATTCATTGTTATTAGGAGCTACTCCAGGAGGAGACCCGCCAGAAACTAAACCTCAGCAGTCGAATCCGTCAGCTGGAAGAGGAGAAAAACACTCTGCAGGAGCAGCAGGAGGAGGATGAGGAGGCACGCAAGAATCTGGAGAAACAGATGTTTACCTTACAGGCTCAGGTAGGACATGATTTCTGCTGTAGGAAACAAAGTTTAAGTAATGTGACTGTCCTTTAAATAAGTTTCTTTTCTGTGGTGCAGCTGTCAGAGAGCAAGAAGAAGCTTGAAGACGATGTTGGAACAATTGAAGGTCTGGAGGAGACGAAGAAGAAGCTGCAGAAGGACCTGGAACTGGCCAACCAGTGTCTGGAGGAGAAGACGATCGCTTTTGAAAAAATGGAGAAGACCAAGACTCGTCTGCAGCAGGAGCTAGATGATCTAACTGTGGACTTGGACCACCAGAGACAGATCGTCTCCAACCTGGAGAAGAAACAGAAGAAGTTTGACCAGGTGAGAACATGTCAGTGGATGCATTTCAAGTCAAGTTTGTTGTACATACATTTTTTTGTTTTAAAGCTAAGAGTATAGATGTTATCACTAATTAATTTTCTATTTCTTGAAATAACAACTCTGTTCTCTTGATAGATGCTGGCTGAGGAGAAGAGCATCTCGGCTCGTTACGCTGAGGAGCGTGACCGTGCTGAAGCTGAGGCCAGAGAGAAGGAGACCAAAGCTTTGTCCATGGCCAGAGCGTTGGACGAGGCACTGGAAGCCAAAGAGGAGCTAGAGAGGATTAACAAGCAGCTCCGCGCTGAAATGGAGGATCTGATGAGCTCGAAGGACGACGTGGGCAAGAATGTGAGCGGCACAGTGTTTTAGAAGGGGACCTTTTAAGTTTGAATCCAAGTGTTTCGTCTTTTTTTTTTCATTCACTCCTCTTTTTCATATCTCACACACACGTGTCAGGTCCATGAGCTGGAGAAGTCGAAGCGCACGCTGGAGCAGCAGCTGGAGGAGATGAAGACTCAGCTGGAGGAGCTGGAGGACGAGCTGCAGGCCACAGAGGACGCCAAGCTGCGCCTGGAGGTCAACATGCAGGCCATGAAAGCCCAGTATGAGAGAGACCTGCAGGGCCGGGACGACCAGAACGATGAGAAGAAGAGAGCACTGGTCAAGCAGGTGCAAATTAAATCTAACTATGTTGCATTGGTTCGTTCCCCATAATTTCCACACTGATGACTTGTGATGTCTCCTTCCAGGTGCGAGAGATGGAGGCGGAGTTGGAGGATGAGAGGAAGCAGAAAGCTTTGGCTGTGGCTGCTAGAAAGAAGCTGGAGATGGACCTGAAGGATATAGAGGGTCACATAGAAGGAGCCAACAAGGCTCGAGACGAAGCCATCAAACAGCTGCGCAAGTTACAGGTGCAGATTTTATTCACGTGTTTGCATCAGCTGAATTTTTATACTTTATTCTCCAGTCATGCCTTGGTTTTGTTTCCTTCAGGCCCAAATGAAAGACTACCAGAGGGAGCTGGAAGACACTCGAGCTTCCAGAGACGATATTTTTGCCCTATCCAAGGAAAACGAGAAGAAGCTCAAGAGCCTGGAGGCAGAGATTGTACAGCTACACGAGGTCAGATGTTTGTTGCTATGCAGGGTGTTGGTAATTCACAGTTAGCAGCAGTTTATACATTCAAGAGTCCCTCTTAATGTTTGATGAAGTGCTGATAGATTTTTTTTTTCTGCCCTGCAGGACTTAGCAGCGTCTGAGAGGGGACGACGCCACGCGGAGCAGGAGCGCGATGAGCTGCAAGATGAAATCTCAAACAGCACCTCTGGGAAGTAAGTTCACCTGCTCTAGGAAATGACCTTACGAGAAAGGTGCAAAAGTCAAAACAAATGATTCTCAAAAACCAAACCAGTAATTTACAGAAAAACCAAAATGACCCTGACAGTCGTATTTCGGCTGCTCTGTTCATCGAGGACATGTTATTTTTCTCGTTGTGTCAGGACTGCTCTGATGGATGAGAAGAGAAGGCTGGAGGCTCGCATCGCCCAGCTGGAGGAGGAGCTGGAAGAGGAGCAGGGCAACATGGAGCTACTCAATGACCGCTTCAGAAAGACAACCATGCAGGTTTGATTTCATACCGCTATGTCAGTATGAGCGTATTCAGTGTCTTTAATCATCCGAGTCTTCATTGGACTAAAACATTTACTGAGCTCCAGGAAGCTGTAAGAATGTAAGAAAGATGGATGGGCCCTTGTTTCATTTCAGAGGTGTATCAGTTTGCCTTGAGTTGACTGCAGCTTTTTAAGTAAATGTAAAAAGCCAACAAATCGATGTGAAACCAAAGATCGACAGATGTCATCTCCAAATGAAAATATCTGGGGGGTTTTTGTCAACCTCAGTCTGGCAGCACTGATGAGGAGGGCAGGTTTTTACCCATCTCGGCTATCAGAGAGGAACCATAAACTGTCGTGCACCATCCCTGTCCACTTGGATTCTCTCTGTTTCTCCATGACGATTTTTTTTTACTCCACTTTTCTCGCCCTCCATCAGGTGGACACTCTGACTACAGAGCTGAGCGCAGAGCGCAGCACAGCCCAGAAAAGCGAAAATGCTCGCCAGCAACTGGAGCGTCAAAACAAGGAGCTGCGGGCCAAGCTGGGCGAGCTGGAGGGTTCAGTGAAGAACAGGTTCAAGGCCTCTATCACTGCCCTGGAGGCCAAAATAGCACAGCTGGAGGAACAGCTGGAGCAGGAGGCAAGGTAGGAATTTACTACACCGCTCTTCTTGCTCTAGCTAATGAACAAAACCAGTCAGAAAGCTTTACGCGTGGAACGTCTTCTCCACTCAAGGGAGCGAGCGGCAGCCAACAAGATCGTCAGAAGGACCGAGAAGAAGCTAAAAGAAGTCTGCATGCAAGTGGAGGATGAGCGTCGCCATGCCGACCAGTTTAAAGAGCAAGTATGTCTACTGCTGCTGTAAATAAGCTGCATTTATCACTCACTGCGCGTGTTCTCAGCTTCAGCTTAACAACAGCTCTATGTCTCGCGTCTCCGTGTGTGTGAAGGTGGAGAAGGCCAACTCCCGTATGAAGCAGCTGAAGCGGCAGCTGGAGGAGGCTGAAGAGGAGGCCACGAGGGCCAACGCTTCACGTAGGAAGCTGCAGAGAGAACTGGATGACGCCACCGAGGCCAGCGAGGGCCTGAGCCGTGAGGTCCACACTCTCAAGAACCGCCTCAGGTGAGGAGGAAGAAAGTGGCTGCAGTCACAGGATCCTCATTTGCTTGATCTTTTTTTTTTTAAGTGACATTGCTACTTTAACCATTTGTCGCTAACAGCAGCAGACATTTTCCATTTTAATTTGTGTCTTCCTGTTTTTTACCTCCTCTCTGCTTCTCTCCCTCTTACAGGCGTGGTGGCCCCATCACCTTCTCCTCCAGTCGCTCAGGCAGACGTCCGCTGCAGGTCGAGGGAACTTCTTCTTTGGACCTCCTGTCCGACGATGAGCTGGAAAACAAGATCACTGACAACAATGCCAATGAGACCCCAGCGCCACAAACAGAGTAGAAGAAAAGCCTTTGCCTTCCCTCAGTCAGCCCTAACAGACACAGCGGGACTCTCACAGCTTAAACAGGGACCCTCTTCTCATCCCTGTGGCCACTTTAGCACATAAAGTCCAAGACATCCCCAGTTTGACTAGATTTCCCTCTTCAAACTACAGGCAGCATGACCTAAGCCATCCTGACTTTCCTGTTCAACCTTAGAAGACACCAGCAGTTTGACCCCCAATGCTCTCACCACCGCCCCACTAAAGACTGTAAGAAACGCCTTACTACTCCAGCTCTGTGCTCAGCTCCTCTAGTTGATTTTCTTCTGCTGGACCACCGTTTAGCTCACAGGTGTCGAACTCCAGGCCTCGAGGGCCGGTGTCCTGCAGGTTTTAGATGTTTCCTTGATCCAACACAGCTGATTTAAAGGCTAAATTACCTCCTCAACATGTCCTGAAGTTCTCCAGAGGCCTGGTAATGAACTGATCACTTGATTCAGGTGTGTTGACCCAGGGTGAGATCTAACACCTGCAGGACACCGGCCCTCGAGGCCTGGAGTTCGACACCCCTGCTGTTCAGAATGCTTCCAAATGCTAAAACGATAGCACTGCAATATTTGAAAGGAGCGCATCATAATGAAAACAGATGCTATTTTTTTCACCGATCTACAATACATGCACCATGTGACTCAGTTTAGTTATATTAGTTATGAACTGGAACTGATATTGTTTGCTTTTCCAGTCCTATGCTAGGATTGCTTGCTTGCGTATGAGTATAAAATGTGAGTGTAAGCTGCTTCTTGCATTGGTTTCTCTTACGTTCGACAGTAGGTCAGTGTTGACTTGTAATTATTTGGCGTGAGCGCTAAATCACACTCATGTCCTCTCGCTTCATTCTTCTTCTTCTGTGCCTTTTTTCGCTCTCTTTAAACTCTAAACCCATTTATGCCACATATACTGTTCATATATTGAAACATGCTTAATTTCATGAAGGTATTTTCATAAAGCAAAAATCATAAATTAAATTTGTAACGGATTATATTAGTGGAAACCTGATTTTCTTTGGCGTGTATGTCCTCCTGCAGCGTGTATGTTGCCACGATGATTGATATGTCAGCCGTGTGGGGTTCTTTGTAGATGGGTGCTATGACTTTTCTTATCAGTAACTTTTATACTTTTTGAGTTATTAAGAGTTAAAAACAATCCAATAGACATCAACTGTATTTATATCTCTGCTATTGTATACGAGACAAACTCCATTCATATTTCAAAATGCTCAGTATTGCACATTGCTCAACTGTACCTTTGCTCATGACATGTACAGTTTATGAGTCTTTAGAAGTTCTATAATGCATTAAAGTCTATGGAGCCCAATACGTTCCTGGTTTCCTCAGCAGTCACTGATGTTTTTGTCTATTTTTTGTCTTTTGACTAAAGAGCATTTAGATGAACTCAAAGATGAGATGCTACAGATGTCTTCTTCCCTGCCAGAGGCATCAAACTTCTATTAGTTTGGGAGTCACATATAGCCCAGGAAAATAACTGCATAATAACTAATAACACATCCGTGTTTTTATCTTACAGCTAATATAAAAACGAGAAGATTTACTTTCATGAATGATCTGTTTAAAGAACAGATGATAAACAGCTTTAGATGTCTCAAGAAAAGAAAAAGGATGTGTCCGTTTTCCACTCATTCGTTTTAAGAACCTTGCCAGTGTTTCCTCAGTTTAACCAATTTACTTGTGTTTGGGATGAGAACCTGTGAGGGTTGAGTGTTACAAAATACAGTCATGAACCGGTTCAAAGGTCAGATAAAAAGGGTGAATGCCAACGGAGATAACAGAGTTTAACAGAACCAAAATGTATCTACGCTTTTAAGAAAAAGAAAGAAAGAAGAACATCGTGTGGTGAGTTTGTGAATGGTAGTTTGTAGTGACGGATCCTTAAAAAAAAGAAAATCTAAACCAGAACAAACCCATACACACCTGCCTGCTGGGATCTTTTAACAAAACCAGAAAGACAAAGAAGGTAAAGTATGATGAATGTCCTCAGAAAGCCAAAATGGTGGAGCACTTCTAACACTTCGGCAGCCCAGCAGAAGGTTTTTATAAATTTGTCTTGCTGATCTTACACCTTTTTTGTAAGCCCTCCAGTCCTAGAAGGTAATTTAATCTCTGTCCGTCTTTTTGAGCACAAGAACCTTTTTTAAAGTCACAGAAACCAAACTGCGAACACCAACAGTGTCCAGTAAGTTTACTCCAGTGCTGTACCTTAACAGTGTTTAAAGGGGATCCATTATGTTCTCAGTTATTTGGTTTTGGGGCTCTAATAAAGTATCTTAGTAGTTCAACATAATCTTTATTTATCCCACACTGGGTCTTAAGTTGCTTCCTCTCAGATCATCTTCTGTGTGAAACAAGTTCCTCCCGCTTTCATGCCAACTTTGTTCTGATTGGCTGCCCCTTGACAATGAACATTTGAACTAACATATGTGGACCATCCAATGCCAGGCATTGGATGCCATCCTCAGAGCAGCCTTCTCCCTCAGACGAGCTGAGACATTTCACCCCTAAACATTTTTAGGTGATTCAATCAAAAGCCCAAACATAAAATTATGGAGCGTTGGGAACCACTTACATACAGTGTTTCCCATATTATCCAAAACACACAGCGGAGTCTCTGTGTGCGTGTGTGTGTTCAGTGAGAGAGGAGATAAAGTGCCTGTAATGCGCCGAGTTGTGGAAACAACTTCTGTAATCCTTCATCATGTGACTCATAGTAATAATCACTCCATAATGAAGAGAGCTGTCCGCCGTGCAGCAGGTGAGACGCAAAAAGAGAGACGCAAAGCTGCTTCAGCAGTCACTCCGCAAACTTAACGGACTTACACGTCAACACCTTCCGGTAAGTATCGCTCACATCCTGGTTGTTGCTTTGGAAAGTGTACAAGTGATGGATGACAGAGGTTTGTTTCGTTATAATCTGCTTCTTATCAGACTTGACCGCACTGGATAGTTTGATCAAATGCTATAAAAGCACTTAAGCAAACTTTTACCACCTGCAGCTGCTCCAGGGGCATCATGGCTCCCTGTACACAAGCCAAGAAAAAAAAAGCCAGCAGTGGTGACTCAGTGAGTCATCAACCATTGTCTGTCGGTTTTAATTGTAAATACCAACAATGGCTTCTGTTGATTACAGGGTTCAGAAATTGGCCCTACACTGTTGTGACCGTTTTTTTTTTATTCATTCATTGACAGCCAAAATATTCAAATGCAAATCAGCCTGTGAATCACAGCCGGGAGATCTGTTCTATAAATACGGATCCAAACCCCCCTGTTGTCCTCGCAGGGCCCGACAGAGGTGATCCTGCGAAGCAGGAAGGAGAGCAGGAGAGCGCAGAAACACTTTTTTTCCGGGAGGAAAGCGCAGTGTCGTATAATGTCAGTTGTGGGCGCGCAGCCTTTCATCAAGCCAATGCAGTCCCCACCTTCAGTTTCGCCCGGTATCCAAAGGAGACACACGCTTCCCGCGAGTGAAGTCCGACCGCTCAACACGCAGGATGCCATAAGCGTCTTTGAAATCGAGCGAGAGGGTAAGTGATCCTTGCTGTGGGTCTTATGCTGACGCAGAAATCCGCTCTGGACTTTTTGCTGAGTGGAAATAATGATTTTGTTACTATAATTACATTAAAGTGTGGTTTCATGTGGGGATTTGAATTATTTAACGACGTCACGTGATGCATTGTCCTTTGGTGTATGAACTAAAGATGTTGTGATTGCTCCACAGTCGATTAATTGATCGGTTTGGTCCGTCTAAATGTGTGCGTAAAAGTTGTGCCAAACCGCTATTGCGCACGGACCACCAATCTCTCTCTGTCTCTCGCTCTCTCTCTCTCAGCATTTATCTCAGTGTCAGGTGAGTGCCCCCTCCACCTGGATGAAGTACGTCACTTCCTCACACTGTGCCCAGAGCTATCCATGGGCTGGTTTGAGGAGGGTCGGTTGGTGGCTTTTATCATCGGCTCTCTGTGGGACCAGGACAGGCTCACCACAGTAAGACATCCTGCATTTTCTCTCTCTCTCTCTCTCTCTCTGTCCTTTCACAGTTAAAAATCATCACTAATTATTAAACCTCCCATTTCCGCTCCCCTCCAGGAAGCGCTGACGCTCCACAAGCCCTGCGGCTCCACCGTGCACATCCACATCTTGGCTGTCCATCGCACTTTCAGGCAGCAGGGCAAAGGTCCCATCCTCTTGTGGCGCTACCTGCAGTATCTCCGCTGCCTGCCCAACGTGCGCCGAGCGGTGCTGATGTGCGAAGACTTCCTCATCCCCTTCTACCGCAAGTCGGGCTTTAAGGTGCTGGGGCGATGCGCCATCACCGTGGCCAACCTGACCTTCACCGAGATGTGGTACCCAATCAGCGGCCACGCGTACATGCGCCGCAACAGCGAAGCGATCCGCTTCCCTCAGCACCCCCTGACTGTGCCCCTGACAAAGACTGACGAACGCGTTGATGTATGAAGTGCTTACTGAGGGCCGAGCAGGCTGTTTTTAATCTAAGAGGAAGGAATTCAGTGTTGTTCTCTGTAGCATCTTTCAGGGTTTGTCTCAAGTTTCCAGCTGTTTCTCTGATTTGTTGGACTTTTGATCCCATGTGAAATGATTTTAATATGTATAATAAAACAAAGGATGTACTATATACTGTACTGTGACGTGTTATAAATATGCGAGAAGAGTCAAGTAGTGAGTAACTGGAGTTAAATGTCGCGTTTGTGGTAGACTTTGCGCTTGGGTCTAAAGCTGTCTTCTGCTAAGCACCTTCCTGGGCTTCCTACAACTGTGGTCTGACGTCAGTAAACCGGGCTTTAGCAGCTCAGTCGCAGCTCCACCATCCTCCAGCTCCTCCTCAGCTCCATTAGGGGGCTTTAGCTATTGTAAACACCGAGTGGGGATTAGTTAACCTGTAGGACCAATGACCTTTACTTAGAGAAGCACAAACAGAGCAGGTTGGCGTTAGTTGTGACAACAGTTTGACAAACCATGTAATTTTTTTTAAGTTCTTTTCTGTTACAGTGTTTCAATAAAATGTTTTATACTGTTTTTTAAGATGAAAAAGTTTCGTTTTTAATGTAATTTGTTCTCTCAGACATTTGATAATCTCTTTGCCGTAAGGTTGCACTAACCATAGCCTACACAAGCACCCACCGTCTTTAGCTGTCCCTGCACTCCATGCTGTAGACAGTGTGCTGTGCAGGTGAAGCTGTAATCCATGACACAGTCACCGACTCAGGTGTAATCCCCTAACGTACCAGGACGAGCTGCTCCCACCCCTCTGAAGGACAAACCTGGTAGTGGTCACCTCATAAATGACCCAGAACTGTCACATCAACACTACCGCAGAGTGAAAGTCAGAATGTAAGTGCATTTATGGATATTTATTAAAAAGCTATAGGGAGAAAAATCATCACAGGATTAAAATTGCTCTCTCTTGGATGTGAGAGACAAGCTGGATTCTATCTTTACACTTTGTACCTTAAAGATCAGGTACTTATTTAGTCCCCCGTATTTCCTACGTCATGAAGGCCAAACCTTAACCTCTGGTGATTTGGTACTTCCCTGTAATGGTCCAAAAATGATGATTATGGTCCAAATGTAGGGAATTTGAATCTGCACCTGTAGCCACTAAACACAGAGAGATTTAAACTCATCAGAAATGGAAATAAAGCTTTAAAACCATTAAAATATAATCCAACCATTTTCTTCCACTTAACCAGCTGCAGTCTGTCTGAGCTATCAGTGACCGAACACGGTTCAGTGGAATGTAAGTATGTGCATACAGTAGTTTGGTGAAGTATGAAGACATAATGACGCAAGACTCAGACTGTGAAAAATCAGTCAGTGCCTCTCATCTGATCACCATAGGGTCACCTGGGTTTTTTGTTAATTAGAAGAAGAAAAATTGCAAATAAATGTAAAACTGATTGGGGTGCAGTTATACACCCAACAGTCTCTCCATTAGGTACACCTGATCAGCTGTGCGCTAATGCAAATATCTGATCAGCCAATCACATTGCAGCATTTCGGTGCATTTAGGCGTGTAGACATGGACGAGGTGACCTGCTGAAGTTCAAACTGAGCATCTGAGTGAGAATGAACTGGGATTTAAGTAACTTTGAAGGTGGCATGGTTGTTGGTGCTGGGATTTTCCCACACAGCCATCTGTAGGCTTTACAGAAAATGGTCTGAAGAAGAGAAAACATCCAGTGAGCAGTAGTGTTCTGGCTGAAAGGCGATGGTAAGCCAACTCATCTCCTGATTTGTTACAACCACAGACGAGCATCTCTCAGTGCACATTGAACATGGAGCTGCAGAAGAGCACACTGGGTGGTGCTTGTGCCAGCTAAAGAGGAAACTAAGGCTACAATTAGTACAAGCTCACCAAATTGGACAATAGAAGAAGTTTTATTAGCTAGAGTCAGTTAAACATTGCCTGATCTGATGAGTTTTGATTTCTTCTGTGACATTCAGATAGTGGGTGTCAGAATTTGGCATAAACATGGATCCATCCTACCTGGTATCAGGCTGATGGGTCTCGTAGCACCAAATGACCATCATTTAAACACCACACCTACTAGAGTATTGTTGCTGACCATGTTCATTCCTGTATGACCGTGGTGTACCCATCCTCTGATGCCCCCCTCAGATTCAACCCATCTACCTTGTTGTCTGTGCTGCAAAGAATTAAAGCAGTTCTGAAGGTAAAAGGTTGTCCGAGCAAAAGCCACCTACCTAATAAAGCAGCTGGTAAATTAAAGTTTTGTCTCTCTCTTTTACTGTATAAAAATGCTCTCTTCAAATATGATTTTTTTTCCCCAGGAAACTGAACTATTTCAATTTGTGACTCCTTTTAAAAATCTCGTTGTAGACTTTGGGAAGGATGATTGCATTAAAGATTTTTTCACATTCTTTCAGTTACATTTTTCTCTTCCAGCAGAAATCTGCAGAGTGAAGTTGGCTCGCAGCGATATTGTCTTATGGCTGATTCCAGCCAGCTGGCACCTTTGCACATTTTGCTCGATGGGAGTTTCTTCCTCCTGGCAGAAAGTTTTATTTTAGTCTTGTGATTCTGAGGTCTTCATAAGGACATGCATGCTGTTTATTTAAGGATTTGTCAGTGTGTGGATGACTGTGATGAGAACTCATATAGTTTGCAGCTTTATATTTAAATGCTTTCATTAATGATCAATTTCAAGTAGCAACAATAGACTGAAAATTTGCTGCCTATATTTATTTAAAGAGTGCAAATACTGGACGGGCTGCCTGAATGAGAGTGCTCCAAATGGTAGCTGATATGTTGTTGGCATGATTGCAGGGCAGGCATATGTGAGGCTTTGCCGCCTTCATTCACAGAGTCCAAATCAATTCAGAGACCCATTGTCAATGTTTAACCGATAGCGCTGTAGTCTAGAATTATAACTGCAATAATCAGACAAAACAAAGAGGAGCTTTACGTCACTCGGGCAATAATTGGTGAGTCCAAAGGGACCACTTTTGCTGCTACGCACAAGTGATGCTGCCATATTCTACATCATTCAGCAGGCTTTTTAATAGGCAGGCGGTTATTAGACACGCATTATGGGGTTAGACACAAAAACATCTGAAATCCACAATTTAACTCCAATTTTCACTTTGAAAAAATGAGAAATTACATCATCACGTGAGCCAACTACATTAAGTGAGATGACCCAACCAAATCAGGGGACATCCTTCATCCCCCTGGCTTTGGACACAGAGTGGGGCTGCTGCAGTCTCCAGACAGGCTCACATGCAATAATCCCACAAAGTCCTTACAGTCACCGGGTAATCTGGCAGGCAGACATCCCAGCATGGAGGCCACACATTCCCAACACCGTTTTCTATCACCACCGCAGTGTTAGACCATAACCAATATCACAATTTAGGCCCATGTAGACAAATCAGCTTCTGCATGCTCCTTTGCTCATCGGCCTGGAGACAAGAAGGCGTGCACGTCGCTGGGGCAGTCTGTTATTAGACACACGCCTCAACAAGGTCGACCTTGTTAACCTTAACGCACTACAGTGCTCTTATGTGACACATGTTTAATCTGTATCCTTAATCCACCATTTCCAAACATATGACTCGCTGGGGTTGGCAGCTTTGTACAACTATTTTCATGAGAGGGGTATTTGTAGTTGCAACACACGCGTCACTGTCTTATGAAGAACACTGTTTCTGGAAATGCCAGATCCCTCATATTAATGTTGAAAACTAGGAGTCCGCGGTCATCATGGACTGAATATAAAACATGGACAAAGCTGCGCAAACTAAAAAGTGAAGGCCAGAGAACTGGAAAAGTGGCTTGAACCTGCAATGTCCAGCAGGGAGCAGCAAATGCAGCTACACAAAGTTGTACAGAAGTCTGCTTTATGACCTGAGTAAACGCTTTCCAGATGAGTTTATAGGTTCTATTGCTACTTTCAGATCATATCGACTCAGTTCTGCAGCACTTTGATGTCCAGGTTACACCCGGGACTGGTCAAAAGCCTATCACAGGCTGCAGCTGGTTGTATTTTAAATAACAAGGCAGAAAAAAATCAAAGTGAAGCATTTTAATAAGCCCCTATGCAGCACATGCATAACAAAAAATAACTGTTTTCACAGCAGACCAACAGTAGAACTGGAAAAAAAGAAACAGATAAAAGTGTGCAGCTCTACCAGACAGACTTTTTTCCAGTGTTTTCAAAACATATGAACACCTGTCTTTCTCTTTTTCTTTCCCCCCTAAATATGTTAAATAGACTTTTCATGCACCCTCTAGCACCACAGTCTGTAGAAAATTAAATCTTTAGCTAAATCTAGACTTTAAAACTTCCTAGAAACGGAAGATTGAGTATGATGGAGCATTGGCGACGTCAGTGGAGGTTGCAGGAAGGAGCAAGAGGCCTGTGCTGAAATCTTTTCTACACAGATCCATCGCCTGTTTGTATGATATCTTCCCTTTACTGATGGGGTCCACCAGCTCCTTTGTGTGGGAAGCTTCATCTTGCAGATCTTTTGCCGTTGTGCTGTCAATCAGCCCGGTGGCGAGAGCCTCCTTGATAGTGAGGCGGCCTGCTTTGGTGGGATCCACCAACCCGCCAGTCAAATACTGCGCCTCTAAGTACCTCCTGGCATTTTCTTGGGGAATGAACCCTTTCTGTGCTGCCTGTCCTACAGCGAGACGCTGTTTGGTCACAGGATCCTCGACTCCGGTGAAGGCCTTCTGGGCATTCAGAAGCTTATACTTTTGGTTTGTGTCAATGAGGCCCTTTTCAGCTGCTTTGTGGACAGACAGCTTGTCCTTTTTGCCCAGATCAACTATTCCACCGGTGGCTGCTTGTGCCTCCAGCAGCTTTAGAGCAGTGTCGGCATCAATGAGACCGCGAGTGAGGGCACTTCTCACAGACATGCGGCTTTCGGTGGTGGTGTCAAAAATGCCAGAGATTGGGAAAAACTCATCACCTGGTAAAGCACTGAGGTTGGTCAGACTGCCGAGACTGCCGCTGTATTGAGTGTTCAGGTTAGTGTAGGAGGACCTCAGAGATGAAGACATGGAGCTCATGGGAGAGGCTGAGATGGGTTTGGTAGGAGTGGTTGGGATTGTTTTGGTGGGAGATTTTGGCATTAATGGAGGAACGTAGGGCTTGCTTCTTTCGCCTGCAACAAGGAGAGCAAACTCAGAAATGGGCATTTTCCCTTCCTTGTAGCGGCTCACGTCACGTTGAGTCAAACGGCCCTCCCTCAGAGCATCCATCACAGAGTACTGATTCCCACTTTTTCGATCGTGCAAAATGACTGTATCTCCACCTGGACCAGTTGAAGTGATTTCCTCCCAGTCACACTCCAGCTCTGACAGTTTGATGTACTGGTTTCGATCGATTAGTCCCTGTAAGTAGGCATCGTAGGGTGACAGATTTTTACCAGTTTCTGGATCCAAGATGGTGACCTTGGTGGAAAGATTTGCCTCTCTGGTTTTAGTCTCAGAATGGTCCTCATGCTTTATTTTGTCCAGTATCTCGATGATGAGTTTGTCTTTCTCG